ACAGACACACACAGACACACACAGACACACACAGACACACACAGACAGACACAGACAGACAGAGACAGACAGAGACAGACAGACAGACAGACAGACAGCCAGCCAGCCAGCCAGCCAGCCAGCCAGCCAGCCAGCCAGGCAGGCAGACAGACAGACAGACAGACAAACAGCCAGCCAGCCAGCCAGCCAGGCAGGCAGGCAGCCAGGCAGCCAGGCAGGCAAGCAGGCAAGCAGGCGAGCAAGCAAGCAAGCAAGCAAGCAAGCAAGCAAGCAAGCAAGCAAACAAGCAAACAAAAGCGCACACACACAAACACAGACCAGCTCAGCGAGACAAAAGGCCGAGCACTTGGATCACCCGCCGTCGAGTGGGTGGGTCAAGTGTTTCCCAGTCGAGGATCAAACCCATCATCTGGATGTAGCGCTTGCCGTTCCAAAATGAGCCCCAAAGTTGTTAAGGCAGGGATCCAAGTCACTAACGCTTGCTGCGCCGTTTCGCCGCGTCGCCCCCGTTTCGCCGCGTCGCCCCTGGGGCACCCGGCGTTTGCGAAGGGCTGCTGCAGAACTGGTGTCTGCAAACTGCCTGGTGGAAAGGCGTGAATGGTCATGTTCCACCTGCGCAACCCCAGCCAAGTGTCCACATTCTAAATGACCATGTGCCCCAACCCCCGCCGGCTCACACCTTGTGAGCAAAACGAGCTGTGGCTGCACAGTGTCCACGACAAGCTGAATTCGCTCGAGGGCGGCATTTCCGCGATGCTGGCGTGCATGCTCTTGCAAACTGAAACCTCTCCTCCTACTAGTCAAAACAAATGGTTGCCTTTTGAACATGTGATCGAAGAAAAATGCCCTTTTTGGAGCGGCCAGTCTCGCAATCGCCGCGAACAGCAGAAAACCCAAGACCTTTCACAAGCCCACAACATGAAGACTTCAATTCTCCTGGGATATCTGCCAATGGAGTCTTCCTCTTCACCATCCAGGTGCATGTTCAAAAACTCTTCTGCTTGGAAAAAACCAGGCCGGGGGCGCCGGCAGCCTGACCTGGATCAGGCGGTCATGAAGTCGGACCCCACCCAAACTTCAGTTGCTTGAGGTGTCGTGCAAAACTTTTTGGCCTTGGACACACGCCACGAATTCATATGATGACTCCAGAATTCAAGAAACTATCGTAAGAGCTCTCATTTGGGTGTGGCCCGTCGCGATTGAAATACAGTATATATAAATATTGAAATCACAAGATTGGGGCTAGACACACGGCCGCTTGGCCTTAATGGCTTAACTGCAGCGTGCCCTACAATTGAACCTTTTCAGGAGGCAAGCTGGCTCAAGATAGTTGGCACCCAGAGGGTCATGCCAACCTCCCCGAAAATCCCAAGTTTCTTGGGTTGCCGCCTGCTTCTTCCTGCCGGTCGATCTACTCCTCTCGAAAATCCTGAAAAACCACAGGAAATGGCCAAACCGATCTTGGTCAACAAAAAACTCCTCCGAACTGCTGTCGTATCGGACCAACTCCATTTCTTGAATTCGTCGTTTGACCATTCCAAACCCTCCATGGGTCATCTCACCAAGCACTTGACAACGAAAAACACCCCACCAAAGCATCGAGACAAAGGCGTCGCCGGCTCCGTCTCCAAGGGCTGGGCCCTCTGCTCCATCAAGAGTCCATCCAGAAGCATTTCGCAGAGCTCGGAGCAGTGGAAGGAGTCCACATCAAGGAGTGCCATGAGCGCTGCTTGAAGGCGTGGCGACAGTAGCTCGGCCACGGGCACCTGAGCTGAACCAACCGGGACCGTGCGCTTCTGGAAGAAGCGGGCCAAGCCATTCTTCTTGACGTACTCGAAGGCCTTGCAGCCTCGGGTGCTCTGCCAGGGGTAGGTCCCAATGGCCAACACATAGCCCACCACTCCGCAAGCAAACAAGTCGGCACGTCGGGCATCAACGCACCAACCCTCCGGTGGGCGGTACATGTCTCCAGCGCCGATGTGGCGCCGCACTTCGGCTCGGGCCGACGCACCGTGACAGACGGCCCGCGCGAAGTCCAACAGCGCCACGTCGGGGCCTCCAGTCGAGTCCGGACGGTCGCGCAGAAGGACGTTCTCCAGGCTGATGTCGCCGTGGGCGATGCCCACCTCGTGGTGCAGGAAGCGCACGGCACGGAGCAGCGAACGCAGGAGCTGCACCGCGAGGACTTCTCGTGGGGGACCCGGCTCTCCCAAGCAGCCGGCCAAGTCAAAGAGATCGCCGCAGGTTGCATATTCCATCATGACCATCACATCGCCCGATGGATGGATGAAAATCCCATGGCAGGGAAGCACCCCTGGACCTGGGAGGTGTTTCCCCAGCTTGAGGGCTAGAAAAAGTTCGCTCCAGGGGCCTTCACTTCCTCCAGATTTGGCCTTTCGGAAGTCCACGGGGCTGTCTTTCAGGTATGCCCTGAAAAAGCGTTTTGCCACCACCTTCGAACCCACACGGCGGTCCAAGTGCACTTCGATCTGGGCCTTCCAAAGCGCGGAGCTGGGACGAAGAACATGATCGAACTCAAAGCGTTCCAAGTCCAGGAGGCTGAAGCTCAACAGATTGAAGGAGTCAAAGTCCCTCATCCAGCTCTCACAAATCCCCAGCGGTGGCCACTTGAGCCGATTGTTCTCATCAGGTTCCGCCGTGCTGACGCTGCTGGCAGAATTGGCCAAACAGCTCTTTCTGAAAACGTCCACCATGGCCGCGGGATTCAAGAAACACTACCCCACCAGGCGTTCCAAAGAAACGGATTGCAGAAAATATATTATATACATATGTATATGTATAGCTGAAGAAAAATATGTAGACACAGTGCGAAATCCAAACCCCATGTACTATGCACGCGCTAGGAACCCCAATCGCGGGAACAGGAACTACTGCCATCGTCTTGCAAACACTTCATGAGGCCGGCGACGCCTAGCCCAATGTGAGCCGAAAAAATGCAAAAAATGTCAACAAAGGTTGTTTACGTATGTTTACGTCATTGGCCTGTCTTCGATGTTCACGACAAACGGTTTCATCCAAACTGAGGAGAACTCGCTTCCTCCGTGTGTGGCGCTTCCACACCTGCTCCAACCAGTGCGACCCAAGGCCTTGGGCGCCGACGAGGCCACCATTCGATTCGGGCGCCCGTTCGACCAGAAAGGGACCTGCCGTGGTCGTTTCAAAATTCCGTCCAAGAGTCCAGACGGTGGTTCGAGAATTCCCTTCCTTATACGGATACGCATGGTGAGCTAGGAACCCAGAGTTCACTTTTTCAATGGTTCACCTTTAGTTGGTCCACCCAAGAAATTGGATGATAAAGAAACACTGGGGCACTGACCCTTGGCGTCAGCCCTTCCGGCAGGATCTTTGCAAAGCCATGGCTGCGGGCAACGACACGTCGCACTTGACGAGCCAACATGGGAGCGCTGTTCTGAGCCCTTTTTTTCATGCGGCGGGTTCCTTCCTTGCTGCTCATTTCCCTAGAAATATTCACGAACAAAGCCTGGACAGGCAGAACTTGACACCAGGCCAATTAGACCAATGGACCATGATCTAAGATCTACCCTTGATAAATTTTCCAAACCCAACATTGTTGAGAAAACACTGCTAAGCACGGGCGTGTCAGAATTTGACCGCTACGTGTGCAAAACTGCGACACACATAATTACACGACATTAATGCGCATAGTGGCACGGAGGTTAGTGTTGCGAACAGTTCCGCAAAGGTCACGCGCACGGGCACTAAACTCAAAGTTCTGCCACGAAACGAAACTCGTTTTGAGCAGTCGTCACTTTGGAAGGAAACGGGAACGCAGATTGGCAGGTCAATCCAACGACCCGTACATTCTCGGGCCCTCGCACGGTGGACCAGTAGCACAGCCAAAAGTTGGTGGACCTGCAACCTGGCAGGGTTTCAGTGCACGCTTGTGGCACGGCAAGGGATTGGTAGCCCACATGATCGGTGAAACAAACAAACGTTATATGCGTACCAACTGTTAGCTAGTGATGGGGGACCATTGGCTCGACCAAACCCTCCGCAGTTGCGATCATCAGGCCGTAGTTGTCAGGCAGTGCAGGCAGAAATTTGCGTGGCCAGATGGCTGTGGTCCATTGGAAACTATCCCGAAGCTGTGGTAATGACGCCACGTGGAAATCCATTCCTTTTTGCTACTGCGATTTCTTGCATTGCGTTGTGCGCCGCGGTGCGTCATTTTTCACATCGCCGTTTTCCTGGCGGAGAAGCAACCATATGGACAAACACACAGAGGAATTGGGACTTGGATATAGGATCACGTGCGCGACAACAGAAACGTGGTAGGACCACGCGCAGGATTGCTCGCACCACCAACAAAATTGAAACCGGCCAATGCCCTTTGGTGTGGCCATGGTTCCGAAAGGGAAATTAAAATGGTGTTGCCAATAGATTCATGTTGCCAGTTCCATGCACTAGTGACTTCGAAGGCATAGGCAGGAACCCAACCCCCCTGCAACCTGTTTTGGCGCAAACGACCACCTCAGCGGCCAGCTTACAAGCATGTGGGGCACCCCCGAGATCCATCCGATGGTTGCATCCAATGGCTGGGATATGCTGATCCGAATGGTGTTCATCCGGCAGGCGCTGATCGACCCGACAGTCTGGATCCTAAACGTAGACGGCCCCTGTTGGTGCCACAGTTTGGTTTGTGTCAACCGTGGACAATCCATCCCGCATTTACATCCAGTTGGCTCCGCTTGCCGCACCAAGTGCCCTAAAGGCCGAGGGATTCCTTTGTGCCCCTGGCATGCCCAACGTCAAAATAGCGGCCCCCGCACGATGTGCACAAACCCCATAGGAGCTTGCCTGAGCCAGGATGTTGAAGACGAAAAGAGCGGCCGCGGCCGAGCAAGAGCAGAGCCTTGCACGGCGAAACTGTGCGGGAAGTCGGCAAGCCGCTTGGTTCCCGCGGCATTAAGTCGCACCAGTTGCGCGGTGTGGGGAACCAGGGTGCACGAGAACGTGAACTAGGTCGGACCCCATGCCAACACAGCACCACATGCATGGAAGGGGCTGCCCGACGATTACATATAGATCCGCCAGGCTACACGCAACTGCGCCAGGAAAAATGCAACGTTTGACTTTCTGACTGCTTCAGGGCCAACAAGTTTGATAACTCACAAGTGTATGTTGGCTTCCCCGTGGGCAGGTAGGTGCCTTGGTCACTGTGTCTTCGTCTCGACAGGAAGATTGCCAGGAGCTGACCACAGCTGGCGTTCAATCGGCGGCGTCCTCTTCTTGGAACATTTACACCTTTTCTTTATCTTGCTTCTTTGCGGCAAACCCGGCGGCTGACTTTGGAAAATGTTGTTCATGTAAACAACTTTATTGCTTCACCGCGCCTTTTGGTGGGCCGTGGCGGTGAACTGCGAAGAGGTCACCACGGGCCCTCGACGTGGCTGCTTGTGGAAGGAGGAGGGTGGAGGAGGCTGCATGCGAACGATGATGGCAGCCGCAGATACGTGTGCTGCCCACCGCAAAATCCAAGCGTCGCGGGCAGCTAAACGCAGGATGCTGGGGAGGTGCTGTGTTTTGTGACGGGACAACAAGCGAAGGACGGTGGCTGCTTCCGTGACCCACCGCCCCCCCAACTTCCAAAGCAACCCCGACTAGGCGGGCACATCCTCCTCCCACCAACTCGGGTACCCACGTGAATGGCATCATTTGCAAACCCTGAGCCCAAAAAAACTTGGGCAAAACAGGAGTGGAGCAACCTTCTTCGCGGGAATTTGTTTGCGTTTGTGTTGAAAGATGTGGTTCGTGGTGGCGCGTCCAAACTTGAAACCCGAACAACTTGAACCGCCTTGGCCACTATCGCAGATGAAGCAAGCAATTCGGAAATTGAACTTCAACAAAGCTGCTCACCAGCGTGGTTTGGTCGCCGAATAGTTGTTTCACAATCTTGAGGAACAGAGGAACACCTGTTGAATGCAAAATTTGTTACTAAACAGCACTTCGGTGATGAAAAACACAAAAAGGATGGTGACCAGCATTGTGGCTGGTGTGCATTGCGCAGACAAGGCATTTCGGATCATTTCATTTGGGGATTGGTTTCTGCGTATGCTCGTCAAGTCGGACAAAGTCATGGGCGAAATGGATGACAGTGAAAAATTGTAAAATTCCGTCAGGTGTTCGTCAGGGTTGTGTTCTGAGGCCCCGCGTTTGTTTCGCACCGTCCTGGCTGACGCCATGGGGCATTGGAGGCAAAGCGTGGGGGCTTTCGGCTTAGTCTTGCAAGACGGCCTGCCTCCCCTTGTTTGATTTACGATTTGTTGGTGATATTTTTGTTTTCGGACCTTCATCACGTACATTGTTCCGTCCATTTGATGAGCTGCGTGGCTCCTTGGCAAACGTGGGTCAAAGACAGTGATTCGGACAACTGTCGCCAAGTGCGTACTCTTCTCTTTTCAATTTTGCAATGTGTTGATGTGATGCAACTTTGATCCCTTTAGCTCCATGGCCTTGCGCCCACAGTGGCGGCCAAGTACAGAGTTTGCTCTGGAAAAAGGGGGCGGCCGAGCAAAGTCAAAAAGGAACCTTGATCCTCAACATAGGGTTTGATACAATTCTTGGCTTTGCGGCCATCCTCTCCTCCGGTGTGTGCATGCAGGCCTGGACCCTTTGACGAGTACTGTCCCTAGCCATGTGCTCCTGGTCGACAAGTCTTGGACCACAAGTCGCTAGCAAAATATAATCACGCCCAGCCAGTACGCAGGAGTGGTACGGGGGCAGAAGTTAAGCAGGAAATAATTTTAGGAAGGGTTTCCATGAAATTTCCTTGGAAAAGTTCCTGCTTACTGGGGGTGTAGGTGTGTGGTGTTGTTTTCTGAGGTTTGCCGTGAATGGGTGATATGTTGCTGTCTAAGTGGTGATATGTATATGTCGCGTGTTTTTTTGCACATGCTTCAAACAGTTCTTCAACACTGGCTCTATTAACCGGCGAAGAGCCAGCTTGCAATGCGCAATGCAGTAAGCAGATGCGAGCGGCCATGCTCAACAATCAACCCACCTACCATTCTAGTTACTGCTTCCTGACGGTGTATGAAAAAAACTCAGAATTCTGAGGTCTGCCAAACCTGGTTTTTTAGCGTTTTCCGCCTGTAGTAAGCAGGAAAGTTCCTGCCTACTAGTCGGGGTTGACTATAAACGCATGAAACTAAGCCCCTGCTCACCTTTGGCAGGCCAAAATTTGAAAAGTACATACGCCGACGCCACGCCACTGAGACGCAAACTTTTCCAAACAAAATGTTGCAAAGACCGCATTTGGAGGGCAATTGCTTCGGAATTTGGAACACAAGCTGCGGCGAATTGCTTTGCATGTTCCCTTCTGTGCCCTTGCACGTGCCACAGACCTCTTCAAAACAAAACTCACCACCGACGGTTTGCTTAGCATACACGCAACAAATGGTTGAACGTGACGAAATGAATCACGTATCCAGCTTTAAACCATACACCAGGCCAGAAGAGGCCACCTGTCGGCTGTCGAACACCTCTCTGCCGCCAATGGCACCAAACCCGGGATCTGCTATTTCGTTGGGTGTGCCTCGGGTTGTTTAACGATTCAGCCAAGCGACGAGTCATTGTCCACACCCTGTGGCAACCACAATGCACCCACTTGTTTGAATGCTTGAGCGGTCAGACTTTGATAGCAGCCGGCCCCGCAAGACCCTCACAACAGCAACCAGATTCCAAACAAAATGTAATCTCTGAGGCGGTAAGC